TGTTAATTCTTATATTAATACAATTGGATGGATAAAAGATATACAGTCATTTGTATTTTCATTAGAAATAAAAGGTAAAAAAAAATAGAGTAAGAAGATTTAATATTAAAGATTCAAGAAGGGCATTTGATTTTGGGAGTCAATCAGATGATTATTTGTTTGGATTTGGAATTGGTGATATTATAGTTTTTAAAGAATCTTATAAAACGTTGTCAAGTTGTAGTGCTTGTACATTTGATTATAAAGGTGTATTAAATGTACGTTTTGGAGAAAACAGTTTCATACCAAAGCAGATTATTGTTATTGAAATGAAATGAAATTTATTTTGTTAATTTTTATCATATCTAAGTAAAGGAACAAAGATCAAAAGAGAAAATACAAGAAACAGAATAATAAGAGAATAACCCAATATTAATGAAGAGTCATGAATAGTAAAAAAAAATAATAGAGAATAAGTAATTTGTACCATCTGAGCCATAACTTTTAGTATAGAAGTTATCTTACAATAATTGTAATTTTAAAATGACTGAATCATTCTATTTATTGTCTTTATTATAGTATTTTTATAAACTATTTCAACACATCACCAGTCAATAATAGAATAGAAGTAAAGACATAAAACAAAAGATTGCTGACATCATAAAAGCACAGAACAAAGTTTAATAGATCTTAAAATGAATAGTTCTAGAACATATAAACTAAGAAGAAATTAAAACCAAAAAAACTAACAATACTCACATTTAATAAATAGGTAATAATGATTTTTAATATAAATGAAAAATGGATATGGTAGTATTGAAAAATTTTAAAAGAATTAATAAAAAGAAGATGTTTAATTATGTAATTAAAAAGTTCAATTTAAATTATTTAAGAATAACAAGAATTACTGAAATATCTAAAAAAAAGAGAGATGATGAAATTGTATTGAAAGATATTCATTCTTAATTAAGAGGTCATTATATATGTAATAATTTAATTGTTAACAACCAACGAAATAAGATAACTATTATCAAAAAAGAATAAGAAAGTATATTGTATTATTGGTGTTATGATAATTTATAAAGACAAAAGAATAAACTAAATAAATTGAATATAAAATAAACAACAATAATGAATCATAAAAGAATCAAATTAAAAAGAGAAAATAAGAGTTAATAAAGAAACAATAATTAATAAATAAATAAGAATAAAATTTTAGAAATATACAATGACAAATATTAAAGAATTAAATAGAAATAAACCACACACATAACACTACTAAATTTATACTAATTCAAAATACTTACATATCTATTATTTATCAATTTTTATTCTTCAGCAGATAAATGATAGAGTTAAATGAAATAAAAGAAATTTGAGTATTCTTTTAAGAGAAAAGTAATAATAAAAAGAGGTTCTTCTTTTTTTTTTCGAAAAACAATTGAATTAACAATAGGAATAGAAAGGATTTGTTATAATTAAGGTATTAGATAATGAATGAAAAAGGAAGTTAGTTTGTACTATTACTGATTAAGAAATTTTGAATGATTCCAAGAGTTAATAAATCTGCATTAAATAGATTTTCACTTCCAATATTATTTTTAATATAACCATTTGTATATCGAGTTACTTTTTCTAAACTTTCATCTTTATCAATAAACACACAAAAATAAATATTTTTATTTTGTGTTTTTGTTTTAACAGTTGTTACTCCTTCTATTCTTTTAAGATTAGTAGTGAAGTGTTCAGAGATTTGATTGATCAAATTTATATTAATCATATATAATATTATTACCACTACATTTTCTTTTTTAACATTGGTTATAACTTCTGTTCCACTCTCTTCATTAAGGTCAATTTCATATTCTTTTGTTGTGTGAATATCTCGTTCTTCTGATGTAACCGATAATTGTTGTTTATTTTCTATTAATTTGAGTTCCTCTAGAGATGGTTTAGCACTTCTTTTTTCTCGAGCTTGTAAAACAAATGGTGCAGAATAATAAGGTCCCCCTGGAAGTCCATTAATGACAAGACAAAGACGACTATGGTGATGACTTCTTGAAGAAGAGCAATAAGATTTACATTTATTGAATGTATATTTCTCTAAACCATCTTGTGTAGTTATTGGACCAATTTGATTTTGATCACAATGATCTATTTCAATTATTCTTCTATCTGATTGGCATATTCTACAACTTTTTACTTCATCATTTAAATGACTCTCAATAATACTTTCTTTATGACAAGTAGCAGACATAACTGCTTTAATTACATCTTCAGGACGAAGATGATTAATAATTCTCCAATCTTCAGAAACAGTAAGTGTAAGAGTAAATGAACGAAATCTGTAAATTGTTTGACTAGACAAAGCAATTTGAGGTGGTTTAATATTTTTTGCATATAAATGACTTCTTTCAGGGATTTTACAAGAATAATTATTTTGATATGGGTCAGAATGTCTATACATAGGATAGCCATGATTTGGATAATTAGGAGGAATGTTGAGAAATGGATACATCAGAAAGAATTTGAAATTATAGTTTTGATTTTTCAACTTTTTTTTCATTGGAGTTATTTATCAAAATTTGTTTTTATGTTTTTTATTATTTTGGAGTATTTTCTCTTTAATAAAGACAGTATTTAAATATAAATTATTCTAAATAATGTAATTCACCTTTATGGAGTTCCATTGAAAATATAAAATGAAATTTATCCCATTAATAAAAGATAACCAAAAATTATTTTTATTCACTTTTTTATTTATTCTAAATCCTATCTCATTGAAATTTTGTTTTGATAGTAGTTGATTTCTTTGTAATTAAACTCCCTCATATATTTATTTAAACTTTTATTATTAATGAGAAAAAAAAAACCATAACTAAAACAATACTTAAACTACTTGTATTAAAATATCAATAAAAATCTGTTTTTCTACATCATTTTTGTTAATGACTTAATTAAGGTTCTTATTAAAGACTAACCAATTCTGTTACTCTTCTTTCTGTACACAAATTATACTTTTTTTTTAAAATTAACTAACAACACAAAAGTAATCTTACAATGAATATTTCTGTATGAAGACAGTATGTTTAAACTATGTTATTTAAAATAATTAAATGAGAGTATTAATAAGAATAAAGAAAATAATAAAAAGAAACTAGATGAATAGAAAAAGAGTTGTTGAGTCAATGACAAAAAGAGTGTTCATAAAAATAAAAGATTAGTTTTGTATTTTGAAAAGGAATAGAAGAGAGAATGGACTGTGAGAATAGAACTTCATTTATTTCATAAAATAAATAGAAAAATTAAAACCAAAAAAAAAAGGTAATAAAATAAACCATATAAATTAAATAGAAGAGAATTAAAGAAAATATAAACTATATAATCACTGTAACTAAAAAATAATTTAAAAATTGAAATGGCTAAAAGAGAAAATAATTTTATCTTTGGAGATACATTAGGAGAAGGATCATTTGGTGCTGTTATTCTTACTACAGATAAAGATGATAATAAACAATATGCAACTAAAATTCTTGACAAACAACAAATTATAAAATTAAAGAAACATGCAACAGTAAAAAGAGAAAGAGATATTATGTCAATGTGTCATTCACCATATATAGTTAAATTATTTTATACATTTCAAAATCCAACATCATTATGTTTGTTTAATTATTTAAAAAATAAAAAAGTAAATAATAACCTGTAGTTTATGTTTTAGAATTATGTCCTAATAGAGATATGAAATATTATTTTATTAAATATGGTTCTTTTAGTGAAAAAGTTACTCAATTTTATATCTCTGAAATTACAATGGCATTAAAATATCTCCATTCATTAAATATTATTCATAGAGATCTTAAACCTGAAAATATATTACTTGATCGTAATATGCATATTAAAATTACAGATTTTGGAACTGCTTGTGTTCAAACTCCAAATGATCCTCCTAGAAAAAGTAGTTTTGTTGGTACACCTGAATATGTTGCACCAGAAATTATTAATGGACAAATAGGTTTTAGTAAAGCAGTAGATATGTGGTCACTTGGATGTATGTTATTCCAATTCCTTACTGGAGAATTTCCATTTAGAGGAAAAAGTGATAAATTAACATTTGATGCTATTAATGCATGTGCACCATCTTATCCTCATAATATGCCAATTAATGCAAAAGATCTTTGTCAAAAATTAATGGTACTTGATATGAATAATAGAATTGGTGTAAAATCACCTGATGAGTTATTATCTCATCCTTTCTTTACAGGTATTCAATTTGATTCTCTTCTTCAACAAACACCACCACCATTTGAAGCAGGAATGGCTATTCCAAAAATTGAAGATTTTACATATCCTGGATTATTAAAAGAAGGTGAAAAAGTTATTTTATATCGTACAGTATATAAACGTAAAGGAATTAGTAATACTAAACGTGATTTAATTTATACTGACCTTCCTCGTCTCTTTTATTGTGTTTCTAAAACTCCTAATATTAAAGGTGAAATTCCTCTTACTAAAGATACTTCTTATTTCATTAAAAGTGGTGCTCAATTTATTATTAGAGTACCTGGTAGAGATTATCAATTAGAAGATTGTCTTGGAGATCCTCAAGTATGGATTAATGTATTTGATGCTACTTGTCATAAATGGAAATAAAACTAATTGCATATTATTAATGAGGTATTCATTTACTATTTCTTTTTATATTTATTATTCTTTCCTAAAATGTTAACCAAATGAAACTTAGAAAAAAGATAAATTTTCATTTGTTTTTATAATGATTTTTTTATGTCATTATCTACTTTCTTTTTCTGTTTCTTTTTTTATTCATTATTTGTTTTTGAAAACTTTTCTTTCTAATTATTCCTTTTAAATTTAATAAGTATCATCATAGACATTGTAGAAAATATGATAACTATATAGAAGATATTTATAGAACATAAATGTTGAATAATTTTGTTGTATTAAATTGAGTAGAAAGATTTTGCAATGCAATTCTCCTTTCAATAAAAAAAAGAAATAAATTAGAGTGAACGGAAATACTCACAAGCTTTATTAAAATAAAATTGATCTACTCCCATAGCAGGTTCAATTGGACGAATTGTGTTTTTCATTTGATGATCTGAGGCATGTAATATTGAAGAAATTCCAGATAAAGCGTAGTTAGTGTGATACAAGTCAGGTTTTTTTGAAGGCTTATCTCTATATCCACCGTCTTTATTTTGAGAAGCTAAAATAATGTAATCAAGAAGTTTATCAACATTAGGGAAAACAGGAGATGCTTGGAATGTTTTAGAATACTTTTTCAGAATACCAAAAATAGATGCCTGCCAAAATGTATAGCAAGCATCTACTAATTTGTTGATTCTTCCATCAAACCCCCCTTCAATTGGCTTTTGTCTTTGGACTAACCATCTTAATAACTTATTAATATCTATTTCATCTATTCTACCTAATAAAGCTAGTGCAGCAACAGCACAGTATGAATACCCTCCATGAGCCTCACCTCCTGGACATCCAGAAAATCCTCCCTCATACGTTTGACATTTTAATAACCACTCAGCAACACCTTCTTTTAAATTATCGTCAAGAATATTTAACACATATGCAGTAGATATTGCACAATAACAAGCTCTTGTATCAATATCTCCTGAGTCACAATTCATTTCAAAAGAACCATCAGGAAACTTTCTAGAAATAAGAAAATTGTAAGTGTTTTGTCTATTGATTAATTGATAAGCACTCATCGTTCCAATGTCTATCATTGCACATATTCCAGAATAACAACCTGCAACAATTGGAATAATTTGTTGTGACCCTCGTATTACACCATCTGGAAGTGTTATTAATCTTAAGGCTTCAGTATATTCATTCAAATATTCATCTACATTATATCCAAATAACCTTAATGGATTAAGAGACCAATACAATATCCATGGTGTTGATGAATCTAATGACTCAAACCCTGATGGAAGGGGTTTATGAATAGATAAAGTTAACCATTTAATATGTACTTCTGGATTAAATGAATAAGTCAAAAAATTATGTCTTATAATATATCTTGTATATGCCTTTTCTTTTTCAACAGTATTTTGGCATTCATATTGGTCTCTAGAAGTAACACTTTCTACTTCTACTTCTTCAATATCCATTTATTGTTTATATTTTTAAGTTCATTTTTTGAATTTAAGAAGTTTTTATTGAATTTAGTTATTTAAAAAATCTAAAAAAGAAGATTAGATCTTTAGACATTATTCATAATTCATTATGTTAAGTCATATGCTTTAATATAATACTTTCAACACTTAGTTACTATTATCCTTTTTACATTCTAAATAATAAAAAGTAAGAAAATGTTTTAAACCATCAATTTTTATTTCCACTCATAATTTTAAACTAAAAACTAAAAAAAAATAATTTTAAGAAACAATGATTAATATTTTCAATTTAGGAATAAAACACTGGATGATAAAAATATTATTTGTAGTAGTTTGTTATTTTATTACATTTTTCATTTATAAACAATAATTGATTATAGGTTCTTGATATTATTATTTATGGACTTATATTACAAAGTATAAATGGTTATAAGTCTTTAATCTTTTTCAATGAACAACCATTATTCTATTATCGAGGGATATCATTTTTCTTATCACTAATGGTAGATTTATTAATATTATTTGTTGGAGTATTTTCTTTATTAATACTTCTTCTTTTAATTGTCAACGTTCAACAACAAAGGTGTGGGGATTGTTTTTTGTGATTGTATCTGTTTTCTCTTTAATTGGGACTTTAACTACATTAAATTTTGGAAAAAATGAAGTCGATATTTTTATTAAAATGGATAATAAAAGTATTTTTGAAATAGAAAAAGAAAATACTTGTTGTTTGGACCTTATAAATCCAAATTGTGGATGTTTTGAATTAGAAGGAACATTATCTAAAAAATGTCAATATATTAAAAGTGAATTGATTTGTTCTTTTGAAACAATTCATTGTAGAAAATGTCTTGACCATTCAAATAATGTATTCTTCATTTCTTCTATTCATAACTGCATACAAAATATTGCTTTATTATTTGTGACTTTGTTTGTTTGTAAAGAATGGTATTTAGATTCACTTTTAAATCCTTCTCAATCTACAATTAAACAATACTAATTTTAAACTACTTGTTTTTAAACTATCTCGTTTCCTTTTTTCTCATGTCAATAACAAATTAAAAGTCTATGCTTTTTTTCATGAGAAGCTATTTCTTCGACAAATAGAAGACATGCCTCAAAGACAAGATTCAAAGTATGAATTAAAAGAAAAATTAAAAAATGGAAAAAAACCCTGAAGGGTTCATAAAGGAATCTATTGTAACGAAAAAATGGACTAAAAAGTTTTCAGTTAAAAAAGATCAAATGGCATTAAGAGCTGAATATGAAAATAGTGCTGATATTGGAGTGTTCACTAAACTCACTAATAAATATTGTATTACTGCTCCAGGTGGATCATCAAGCTACAAAATTATTGAACAAGAAGTTTCACCAAAAATTCCATGTGTAGAAGCAACTATTGGTGGATTGAGAATTATTGGAAGATTAGCTGTCGGTAATAGAAAAGGATTATTATTACCAAACACTTGTAATGATCAAGAATTATTACATCTTAGAAATTCATTACCAGATGATGTTGTTGTTCAACGAGTTGAAGAAAGAATGTCTGCATTAGGAAATTGTATTGCATGTAATGATTATGTTGCTCTTGTTCATCCAGAAATTGATCGAGAAACAGAAGAAATTATTGCTGATGTTCTTGGAGTTGAAGTATTTAGACATGCTGTTGGAGGAAATCCTCTTGTTGGTACTTATTCTGTTATCACTAATAAAGGTGCAATGCTTGCACCAAACACTACTCAACAAGAACAAGAAGAAATTGGTACAATTCTTCAAGTACCTTTAGTTGCTGGAACAGTTAATCGTGGAAGTAACTTACTTGGTTCTGGTATGATTGTTAATGATTGGTGTGGTTTTGTTGGTATGGATACCACAGCTACTGAATTATCAATTGTTGAGGGTATTTACAAATTACGTAATGAAACAGATGTCCAATTTGCTTCAGTAATGGAATTAATGAAATAGTTAATTTGGTTACTAGTGTTCTTCTAATTGATTTTTTGTGAGAGTGTTCTTATATTTTACCTTTTTATTTATGATTTTTTTTCTTTGTTCAATTGTTAATGAACTCTTTTTTAAATACTTTGATGAACGTGGTATTAAACAGACCTTGTTTTTACTTTTCAGGTTACATACTGATTCTTGACTAGACTGAGCAAAGTTTATTCAAGTCCCTTTTCTTAATCATTTTTTTTAATTTACTGAACTAATAAAAATTACTTTATAGTTATTACAACAAATGGCAACACAACAAAAAGTTGACACTTCAAGATGGGTTGTTATTTATCCGGCTTATATTGATGGTGAATTAACTATAGCTCAAGGAAGAAAAGTTTCTAAAGAAATTGCAGTTAAACAACCAAATGTGTTTGATCTCAAAAAAGCATGTGAAACATTAAAAGTTAATTTTGCTCTAGAAGTTTGGATTTATATTTTTTCTTTTCGACAGATTATTCATACTATTATCTGTCTTTTCATTTCATTCTAGTTAATTAGAAAAATATGATATTTAATAATAGAAACAAAGATATTCACGACAACAATGGGTTATGGGAAGAGTTCGTATTCAATTAAAAGATGAAAATGGAGTTGGTATTACACCATTTAAAAATCGTTTGTGGTGATGAATTTTTTCATTTAGGAGATTAAGAGTAGAAACTCAAATTTTAGGAATTACTTTAATTCGAGCTGTTGCAGAGTCTGTGAAAAGTGCAAGAGAAGAAGCTGCAAAAGCACAACCAACAAAGAAAGTTGGAAAGAAATAATAAAATTCTCATTTTAGTATCAGTTGATTAGTTTCTTTAAAAGATTTTTTTAGAATTTAACAAACAAAAAAGAAAAAAAATAATATACTTGACAAAAAAAGAAACTGAAAACTTAAAAAATATTTAAACGACTTATGAATTCTGAAGAAGATTTTCTTTTTAATGAAAAACAAAAAAGAGATGGGTGTTTTTTATGGGTCTTAGTTCAAAGTTTCTTCTCAGAAATATGTCAAAAAATATCAAATTTATTATTTGGAACAATGTTACATGCTGATTCTATAGACAATAATATTATTATCTTTGATGATGAAGATATTTTAGATCTTAGCAATATCCCTAAGAATTCTAATAAATTCTTAAATTATTTTGACCATGATGAGTTAATTAATAAAATAATGAAATATAAAGTCAAAAATGGATCAAATGCAGGATATAGTATTGAACAAATTCTTCAAAGTAAAAACCTCAATGATTTAATTTTTGATTTTGATACATCTGATTATTATGTACATAAAGTTTGTTTATTCTTTTTCTTTTTAATATTAAAGGATTTTATTGGTTTCAATAATTCTTTCTTTAAGAAAAAAACCAATGAAATGATTTAAGATTTTCTTTGAAACAAAAGAAAAAAGTTTTGTTTATTCATATTCTAGATGTATGTTTTTAACGAAAAAAAAGATTCTCATAACTTAATTTGTCAGTTATTCCTTCGTGTAAATGGTAAATTTAATGTATCTAATGCAAAAAAAATATCAACTCCAGATTACATGAAAGAAGCTTTTGAAGAGGGAAATAAATTTATGAAAAAAAAGTTAGGAGGACATGACTTAGATTTAACAATCATTGATTGGTTGAGGCTCCAAGACTATAGAATTCAACCTAAGAAAGGAAGTATGGTCCTTCCTGGTCAAATTCATCCAGGACTTGGAATTGGTCATGAGATTGAAGAAATGTTAATGGACTTCATTCAACAAAGAGGAAGAGATGGTCCTCTTAACACTCCAGAACATTGGCACAATGCTTATATGTATTATAACTCTTCTCATTTCCATTTCCTTAATCCTGCATTCGAAGGATTTTTCAGGTCTATTAATGAGAGTATTAGAAAGGATATTGAAAGTCATAGACTAACAGGAGTTGCATGGGCTATTGCCCAAGGAAAATTGTATCACAGACAAACAGGTCAAAAAATTAAATGGGCTACATTAGAACAAGTTTGCCCAATTTCTCGAAAGATGCATAATTACTTTGGACAAGAATATATAGATATTGTGATGAGAAATTATCATCCAAAAGACTATTTTATTGATTGGGATGATGAACAAACAAAAACGAAGGCGATTACTGGCAATGAAGAAAACAACAGTCAACTCTATAAAGAAAGCTAGTTAGTTCTTTAATGTCTATACAAAGTATAGCATAAAAATATTACAAATAAGTTTTAATATGAAAAAAATCTAAGACATAATTGTATTTTAATTCAATTACATTTTGTTTTAAAATCTTATTAAAATAAAATATTCTGTAAGAGAATAATTTATTACTCTTTATTTACTATTAATTTATTTTTATTAATGAGGTTGAATATAAATTCGTTGTTTTTTTAATCAATGTTGTTTTATATCATATAGTAATTTAGAAATAATGATTTATTATGCACTAAGCTCTAGGATTAGTTCAAACATTTTAAATATAATTTATCATTTTTATCAAAGAAAATATTGAAAGTTACAAAGAAAAAGGGAAAATATAAATTGTTTATAAAATTATTCCTTTATTTTCAACTTTTTAATTTGTTTCTGATTTCTATGAACCATATGTATTTTTAAAGGTTCTTAAATATTTCTCTGTATTTACTTAACTTATTTAAATTTTTGTTAATTAGTTGCAACGAAATATTCTCAACCAGTTTCTTGATCAATAAATAGAATGTTTATTTTTGTACATTATTATTGTTCAAGTTTTTTACAAGCCGTATTTTTATTTATTTCAATAAGATTGAATAAAAACAGTTAGACATACTACTTTAAATGATGATAGAGTTTATATCTATTAGAAAATGATGACCACTCTCTCTTTTGTTTATAACATTATGTTTACCTGTTCATAGAAAAAAATTTAGATATTAGATTATAGAATTTTAATTTTAAAATATAAATGTCTTTGTCTTATTCTTTTGAATCCCAGTGTTTGACTTATAATATATTTTAGGAGTATTTATTTCTTTAATAAAGCATTATAAAATTAAAAAAATAGAACAGAAAGTACAATCAATATTATTAAAAAATTTAGAAATATTAACGACTTATATGTCAAAAAAATTTAAATATGTACTAATAATTAAAGGATGTTATTCATAGTATAAAGTTAATACAATTAATAATATACTTTCAAATAAAAAATTATATAAATGAAGAAAAAGAAAGAAGTTATTTAGAATGTCCTAATAATATTAAACAATTATTATAAATTACTAAATTTACGAGATTGATAAACAATAGAAAAGAGTTAACATTGTTCAATAGAAAAAAATATAGAAGTGTTTCAGAAAAATAATAAAATCAAAAAGTAAGAGAAGTAAAAATGTAGTTTTGTAGAGACAGAAAATATTAATTTGTAAAAATAGAATTTAAATTATAATTGATTTCCAAATTTTTTATTAATACGAGAAAAAAGAGTTATCCATTGTTTAGTGTTAGTTAGATCAAAAAATGTATCAGATACAGAAGTTTCAATTTGTTTCATTGCTTCATCACGTTCTTCTGTCTTCATGAATTTTTTTGAGATGAGTTCAGAGTTTGTAGTAATTTCAAGGATATCTGGGTGTTTTAATTGAACTGTTGTTGTGTCATTAATTTTTAAAGACTGTTCAATAGTAAATGAATTTTGAGGTTCAGTTAAGTCAATAAAACTTTTTTTAGAATTATCAACAACAATAAATATAATATCATTACAAACAAGCATCTTTTTATATGACTTTCTTCTTACCATTCCATTTGGAATTAAATCAAATACCCCTAGACAAAATCTTCCTTTTATATTAATTTCTGGTTGATTAGTTAGATTTGCCCATTCATTTAATAAATCTTTTTGTTTACATCTAGAATTAATTAAAGTAGTAAAGAAATAATATATTTTATAAGCTTCTTTTAAGGCAGAATAATCGGGGTGTTTTGGGTGAGTATATTTTAGTGCTTCTTTTATAAGCATTGGATATTGCATAACTCTCATTGAAGGCTCTTGTAATAATCCACTTAATCTCCTATTTTGTAACTTACCTTCATTAACAATAGACAACACTTGAGTAGTGATTGATAATTTTTCTAACTCTTTCTCTGCTTTTATTGAATTTTCATTATCAATAACATAAATCATATAAGGACTTAAATATTCTACGCATTCCAAAAGATGGCAAGAAACATTCTTAAATACTGTATAATTTTTCATTGCATTATTCATTATATTACAAAACATTTGTGAATTTTCATTAATCTCTTGATATACTGAAAATGCTTTTTCAACTAATAAGCGATTGTTTTTACTTAGTGTTAATAATGGTTTGTAAATCTTTTTACATACTTCATTCATTCTATTACTATAACTTTCTTCAGTAGTTAAGAATTCCATTAATGCAGCTTTTCTTTTAATCATAAGTTTTAAACCAAAAACTCTTCTTGTTAAATATCCTCTAATAATTGATTGAAATGAAATTATTATTTTAGTATCTATATCTTTATAATCAATTTTACTTTGAATTGCATTGAATTTTCTTAATTGTAATGTAAGTTGAGTAATTTCTACATTTGATTTATTTGTTGAACTTCGTCTTGGTGTAGCAAATATTTGAGAAGAGTCATCAGTTTCATTTCTATTTTCATGACCCTTTACTATTAATTTATAAGGAATTCGAAATGCTTTATTAGTATGAAGTAATTGACCTGATTTAGCTAAAGACATTTGAGGTGGCATAGAACTTCTTGTTGTTTTTGAAAATGTGGTTGGAAGATTTGGCATTGATGTATATGCATCTAAACTGTTTACACTTAACATAGGTATGACTTCAGAGTTCTTTCTGAGAACCTTTTTTCATACTCTATAATTTTTATCTTGTAAAGAAGGATTGTTCAATAAAAATTCAATTTTCGAATAAGGAGTTTTTTGCTTCCTTGAATATAGTATTTTTTTCCTTATATTATGAGATATAAATCATTTATTTAACTCCTTGAGTTAAAATGACTATAAATATTTTAACAAATAACATAAGTTATTAAAAGAAAAATGTGTAAATAATATCAAACTATTTCAACCTAAAAAAAGTATTATGCATTTAAATTTTTAATTTAAAAAACTCTAAATTATACATAATGAAAGAAATAATTTTTGGGTTTAACTTTTTACTTATTAGCATATTGTGAAAGATGAATATATTTATTTAAAATTTTTACTACCAAAAAAGAAAAGTTTTTTAGTATAGTTAGAGTAACAATTTCTTTTTAGTATAATAGTTATGATACTCAATAATTTTCTTTAATATGATTATTTTTGTTTTATATGAAACTATATGATAACATAAAAATCAAATTTACAAATTTAAAAAATATAGAATTTTGAGAAATATTTTATACATAAATTAAACAATTGATCAATTATACTTTATAAAACAATTTAACAAACTAATAATATAATGTTCTTTAGTTTATCTATTTTAATACTATCGAAGTTATAAACTTAAAAAAAAAAGAATAAAACTAAAAGACTTTTTATTGGGGTGAATTTAACTCATTTATAATGTACGAAGTCATGAATCAAATCATTAACAGTTTGAGACCAAGCATCAAGACACTTATAAATGAGTTGTCTAAACGCCTCTTTAGCCTCATCATCATTTTTATCAAACATGAACATATTTCTCATATATTCAATATCTTTGGCACTTTGTAATTCAGGAATACCTGTAGCAAGCATTAACCTAAATAAATAAATAAACAATGGACCATGTTTTCTTATAATGATAAAAGCATTCATACAAATTTCTTCAAATTTAACAAATTGTGGAGCTCCTTTACCTCCAAGAACATTAGCAAAGTGTTGAGTAAATTTAAATGGTGTTCTTTCTCTTTTAACTCCAAATTTTGATTTAAAATTACCAAGAAAATGTCCAAAATCAATATGGAAGAATTTACCATCTCGAGTAATCATTACGTTGTCACTATGTCTATCTCCAATACCTAAAATGTATGTTGCTACACAATATCCTGCACATGAATAAGTAAAGTTTTCTACTGCTTCTTGGAATGTTACTGGACTTTCTGGACGGGCACATTGTTCTTTAATCCAAGTAGTTACTGCAGTATCTTTAATAACACTAAATTTACTTTTGTCCATAGCCATAATTGCTCCATATGTTTCTGAATTTTTAACAAGTTCTAACATTCCTATTTCATTTCCTGTGGCAATGCAAAGGTATGGTAACATGCATAAATCAAGACCATTATTTTTCCAAATAGCATTCATTAATCTTATCATTTGTAAAGTTAAGATATCTTGTCTTAAATCATCACCAACTTTTTGAATAACCATAATCGGTTCTCCTAATGGATCTGCATTTTCTAATACCAACATCAATGGTTTCTTTTTACTACTAAATACATTTCCAGTGTTTGGAACTGGTTTTTTAAATCTAAACCTTGCATCCAATGGTAAAGACATTTCATCAGGATATTCTAATTTTGCTAATGAACTCTTTAAATGAGCTTTCTGCTCATCTTTTGTTCCAAGTTGTTTTACTTCATTGGCGATAACAACTAATTCGTTTTGGAACGTAACTTCTTTTTCTAATTCATTTTTATATTTTCCGCATCCATTTAAGAATGCTTCCATCAAAACACCATACCTTCCAGTGACTCTGGCATCATGAATTTCTGCTTTTAAAAACCAAAACAAATTATGCCCAATTCTTCTTCTATTCTTTAATGACCTTTCCAACAAAAATGATGCTAGTGTAGAATGATGATGTAACTCAAATTTTAATGCTTGAACTAGTTGAGGTAAATACATTACTAATTGGTCATCAGTCATAGTATCAATACACCGTAAAGCAAAACCTCTTATTTGAGGGTCTGGGTATCTAAAATCTAATAACTCAATAGCTTCTTGAGGATCTAATAATGGCCATTTGCTTAATAATCTATGTAACTCATGTACTTCTGTTGGTTGGCAATAATTAACAGAGTTCAATAAACGAGCAAGGGCATGTGGATTTGTTTTTAATAAAGAATGTCTTCTTTCCCATAAACATTTTAATTCTTCTTGAGTAAATACAGCCATAGCATCAGCGTCAACTATTTTTTTAAATGCATCTAATTCTTCAACAGTCATTTTTTTTCCTGATTCTTGTTCTAACTCTACTTGCATTTCTTTTTTCTTAGTGATATATGTATCCATTCTGATTGGTTTAGTTAATGATGGAAATTCAACAACAACTTTCATCTTTGAACTTACTGCATTACAACACATAGCAATTGGATTTGGTTCACTTGCCCATAAATAGTACTGTTGTTCACCATTTAGTAAATCATTTGTATAATTAACGATTTTCGTATTCACTGTTCCAAGACATTTATCATTTTCACCAATCTTTTCTATTTGGGTATTAACTATTGAATTAGTCATATACACTGAATAAATCATTTTTGTTTCAGCTGGGAGTGTAGCAATTAATTGAATAAAAGTAAATTTCCACTTAGGAGAGGCTAATCCATTTTTAACTTCAAAAACTGTTGAATATAGTGCTGGACATAATGGCTTTTCTCCGTAATATAACTCTACTTTAAAATAACAAAGAAAATCAGTAACCATTTGTTGCTCTTCTTCCTCTCCTTTTTTTGTTTTAATATAAGAATATAAATTCTCTACAGAAACAACTTGTGCACTTAATTGGTCTGTACAAAGCCTTTGTGAGACTCTTTTTTCATCATCAAATGCTTCCCATAATTCTGATGCAAAAAAGGAATCAAGATAATTTAAGACTCTTCTTTCTTCATCATTAATTTTACATGAAAATAATCGACTTTTTTTAACTAATTCTAAATGAATTGGTTCCCCATGTAACGCACATCTTCTTATATAATCAAAATCACTCAATAACCAATTCTTTCCATTAACACGTTGTGGTACAATGTATTCATCCCATCCAACTACTTTTAAGATATATTCTGTTGGTTCATTTCCTTTAACTGCATCTTCTCCTGCTTTCTTTAATTCATGAAAAGCAGAATCAATAACCCTATGAACAAATACTTGTGGAGTAATTGTGAAAACTGCTGTAGTTTTATAGTCTTCTCCAATAATTTCAACATCAATACTTTTAATAGTATCAGGTATATTAGGTTCACTTAATGTATAAGCAAACTCGTTTTCTTCTTTTAAATTAGAATCGTATTTAGCTTCTATTTTACTTGACAATACACGTGTTCTTGCAAGTGATCTTCTAAATACAAATATTTCTTCTGCATCAGTGCTTAATACATCAACATATGTTTGTCCAATGATTCGATAATTCTCTTTTAATTGATTCATTAATTTTGCTAATGTTCCAACACTCTCATATTTTTCTGCTTGACTTCTCTCAACTAGTTCAAAAGCAGGAATAATTCCATATTCAATACATGACTTATAAAACCCTGTCTCTTTCACTTCTGAACCTTCCATAGAATCAACAATCTTAAACGGAATATTAGGAACAACAACACTATAAACTCCAGTCAAATGCAGTGTACTTTTAATACTGTCTATAATATCAAGTGGAGATACAGTAGATGAATATGTAAATGAATGTATTTCACCTTCGTGTCGAATAAACACATGAACAATAGACCCTTGTGATTGTGAATTAACTACTGATGAATGAACAGACTTTTTCATCTCAAATCTACTTAATTTTAAGATCTTGAAACATATTTTTTCTTTTTCTTCTTTTTTAAATGCCTTAAATAAAAGTTTCACTTGAGACAATTATGTTATTCTTTTAATAACAAACTTTTTATTTTTGTTTTTTGATAATTATCAAAATGTAAGAAATATAAAAATAATACAAATAACATATCTTTAATACTTTTCTTAACGAAAAATTTCAAAAGAAAGGAAGAATTTAAAAGCTATTAATTCTACTTTAGAAAAAAGTTATAGAACTAAAAACATAAATATAATTAATTATAAAAAGTTATGAATAGGTTTGTTGTTATTATTGAAGAAATGGTTATTTCATGACATTCATTGAACAAGTTTTAAAGTTAATATTGCTGTGGTTGGTGGAAGAGGGGTTGGAAGAACGTCATTAGTTAATAGGTATATCAAAGGAGAATTTGATAACAAAGAATACAATCCTATTAATGAATCAATAAATATCGTTTGCTATAACTCTAAGGATTCATAAAAAATAAAACTTAACAATATAGATGTATAGAACAATTCAAATAGAAGGACGTGTTGTAGAACTTCAAATTTGTGATATTTTATATGATAACAATTTCAACCCAAAAAGTAAAGATTTTGATATCATTTTTATTCTTCATGATGACTCAAATAAAGAGGTAACTGATAAAATTTTTGAAATGATTGAATCTTTAGATATTCTACCTCAGTCAAGTCGTTATCTTGTCATTACTAAAACTGATCTTGATGAATCGTTTCATCAGCAAAAAGCACCAAATGTTGACCGTTTTAAAATTCAATATCGTTTCGAAAAAGTTTATTTTGTATCTTCATTAACAGGTGATGGTGTTGATGAACTCTTTACTTCAGCAGTTTCCAAAAATATTAATTCAAGAGAGTCTGAGCAATGTTTCACTGATAAAAAACAAAAGAATAAATGTATGGTGATGTAATAATTTACCTATGTTACTTATCAGTTCTTTTTATGACCATTCAAATAAAAAAATAGCAAAGAATAAAAAAAAATTAAAGGAACTTAGAATAAAATTAATAATTTAAATTTATAAGATGAATGAGTCATTTAATGATATAACAATTCAATCAATGAAATATTTTACTTGTTTATTAATAATTTTTTCTATATTATATTTGTTGTACTTAGACTATGCAATGATTACTTTGTACGGACAGGCATTGTTTGCATCATTTTTATTTATTTTTTTTTTTGGGAGTAGTATTAATAAAAAAGTTTTTGGGCGATATTTTGTGCTATTGTATTAAGTTATCCATTTAATTTATTGGTCAAATTAATAGAACGTATTGATAAATTTGTTTATCCTTCAAATTGGTATTCATATTTCTTTTATTTTGTTATTGGAATAACTCCATTAATCCAATTAGTTATTTCATCATCACCAAATCTTTTTACATTAATACCATTACTAGTTATAACAGTTTTTTTATTTGTCAATAGAAGAACATTAGCTTCTTTTATGATAATAACTGTACTATTGTCTCTAATAAGTTTATTATCAACTGTAGTAATTAAACAATCAATAATAGAATTTCAACAATTAATTAATACTATAACAAAAATTGTTATTAATTTATCTGAAGATTCTGTTAATTCAATTATTTCTAGAGTTGAAGAAAGTTATAGTGGAAAAATATTATTAGAGTATATGGATAAACTTGGCCTTATGAATTATTTATCTTTAGAAACAATTAAACCTGCAGTACTACAAGGACTAAAACTATTAAGTAGTCAAGTCCAACCATATTTTTTTATCAATTTAGCATCTACAGTAACAGATAATATATTCGCATTTTTTATATTCATTTACAGCTTACTCTATTTCTTAATTTATCAAAATATTATTCTAAATGGTATTTCTCAATTAATTCCTTTTGATGTTGAGGTGGTTCAAATAATAAGAAATGGAGTTGTATCTACTTCATTGCGTTTGATTTTAATGAATTCTTTATTATTCATCTTTAAATTTACATTAACTTTTGTTACTTTTTCTTTGGCACATTTACCTTATAAAATGGTTTGTAGTATTATTTGTGCTTTGTTAGCAATTTTACCAGCTTTTTCAAATATGATTGTTTGGCTTCCTGCTGGTTTAGTATTATTTTTCCAAGGGAATACTACAGGAATGATATGGTTTATAAGTGTTCATGCGGTGACATATTTTATTATTGATGGATGGTTCTACTCATTTATTCCAGATATTATTCCTTATTTTGTTGGTTTGAGCGTAGTGTTTGGAGTATATGTATTTGGTATTACTGGATGCGTTTTAGGTCCGTTAGTCTTTGTTATGACTATGACATTAAAAGATATTTTTATTCTTCAAAACCAACGTCTCAAACAAAAGATAAAACAAGACTAGTTTAATTTTATTTTTTTAAACATTTTCTAAAAATTTTTAAATGTATGACCGATTCGATATAACAAAAACAATTTATTGGATATTGGTTATATAATGAAATAAATAATGAATCATTGTCTTTACATACTATAAACATAAAAATAGGAATGTAGTAGTTGTTATATCTCAATAAAAGTTTTACAAGATCATCAAACAAAGAACATATTTTGTTTTAATTGAAACGAAAAGATTATTTAAGATTACAATCTTATTTTTATCAAAAATGAATCTTTTTCTTTCATAATGATTATGAATAACTTTAAAAATAAAATGTGAAAAACTAATAATTAGGAATATTAGATTTAATGAAAAATTATTTACCAATTGGAGCACATAGTCCAACTGAATTTGAAAAAAGAATTGATGTGATGGTAATAACAGGAGTAATAATTGGTTTATTTATTGGTCTGTTTATTGGATTAATATATAGTGGAGTTGGATTTACTAATTTTTGTATCTTCGGGATTTTATTCTTAGTGTTCCATATTCTTGAGTTCTCGTATGTTGCTGTTTGTCATCCAGAGTCTGTTAGTTTTTCTTCATTTTTATTAACTCATTCCAACGAGTTTTTATTAGCATTATTTTTTGCTGTGACTGAATATTGGATTGAATACTTTTTCTTCCCTAATTTAAAGACATGCCCATATATATACATTCCTGCTTTAGTTATTTGTATTATTGGTCAAGTTATTAGAAGTGTTGCTATGTTTTATGCAGCAAGTAATTTCAATCATATTATCGAAACCTCTTCTAGAGACAGTCATAAATTAGTTGATGACTTCATTTATAAATATTTACGTCATCCGTTTGTTTTTGATTTGTATTTATTTTATTACTTTGTTTTTTATAACGATATAGTTCTTACTTTGGTTGGTTTTATTGGTCAATCTTCACTCAATTCGTTTTAATTAATCCAATTTGTATTATCCTTTATGCTTGGGCTTCATGGTCATTCTTTGCTGAAAGAATTCCTTATGAAGAGGCCACTCTTTATCAACAATTTGGTAAAGAATATTCCCAATATATGGATCGTACTTTTATTGGAATCCCTTTTATAAATTCTGTTAATCCTCCTGATCTTAAAAATCTTGATGATTAATAATTTATGCTTCTTATCTTTTTGTTTTTTTCTTAAAACAGTCAAATATTTGGGTAGTTTTAATTATTAAACAATGTCATTTTTTGATATGTTATATTAAAAATAAACTTCTATTTAAACATTTTTGTACTATTAAAATCTCTGAGAGTGTTTAATTGTTGGATTGCTTTTTATAAATTTAATAATAATATCATCATTCCCTTATCCTTTCAAAAATAAAATTATCATATTTTATTTTATAATTTAAAATATAAGTGTATCTTTAAGATAAGAATTATAAATAATGATATAATCTTCAAACTGAATACAGTGATTTATATTGTAATAGAAAATAAGAAAATTTTCAAAAAAAAAAATTATAAAATCAATGTAACAACAATACATTATAAGATTAATTTAATAACTCAGCATAACTTGGTTGAACTATGAAGTATTCAAAACATCTAAAAATATTAAATAAAAGCATTCTTTATATAGTTATTATACCAATGAGATCAAATTGATTAAATCTATGATAATATCAACGTTTATTAAATCTAAATGAAAAGAGCTCTAATAAGTATTGACAGTGAATAAAAAAAGGAAACAAAGAAGTAATAAAAACAAAAGATTAATAAAAACGAGTTATATATTAATTTATATTTTATTTAATTAATAAAAAAATACACAGAGTTCAGAAAAATAGAATAGAGTAAAATTATTAAGAAGTGAAAAGAAGAGGTGAAAGAAAATAAAGAAAAGGTATTTTACAAAGAGGTAAGAAGAAAAAAATAAGAAAATCAAGGAAAAAAATAAAAAATATGTTTCAGTAAAAATTTAAAGTCATACTCATTTTTAAACCCATAACCAATTTTACTATGTCAATTAATATAATAAAAAATATAAATTTTTTAAATAAAACTTAAATTAATATTTATTTATTGAAGAGAAAATGCAAAGTTCTTTTATTTCAGATTATTCTACTAAACAAACATATGATGATTATATGAAAGTAATTAAACAATTACTTTCTAGTAATGCAAAAGATATATATGAACATTGGGGAATTATATGGGCATCATTAAGAATGTTATTAGAAATGACACCAGGGACATTAGGGAATAGTAAAATTAAAATAAGTTTGTTATTATTATTATTTCATTAATAAAAACAAAACAAAGGAATAAGCAATTTAAACTAATTCATAATAAGGTAATAATAATGACGATATTATTAAAAGTAAATATTTAAAACAAATTCATATCATTGATTTATCAGAACAATCACAAATTAATTTTCAATTTTCTTTAAATAAAGAAACAATATTTCATTATAAAGATTTTATGAAAATATCTCAAAACCAAAGTTTTACTATTAATCGATTTAATGTCTTTTCTAAAGCTCTTAAAAGTGAAATTGGACAACTAATACAAACCCATTCTCCTATTACTTATACTTTCATTCTTAATTATGAAAAAAACTCTGCAACAGTTCTTCATTTAATTTATCTTCCAATTCTACGTATTTCAAATCAATCACCTTCACCTTTCTATTTAGTTTGTATTACTATTCAATTACCTATTCCTCATAGAGAAGTAATTGAAGAATCAGTTACTTTACATACTTCAGAAACACCTCAATATCATAGTAATTCGTTTAATAATTTATCTTTATCAACAGACCATGAAACAATTCTATCTGACATCTCAGGTTCTTCTCCAATAGAAACACAAATCATTGATGAAGAAAAAAAAATTAAAACACAAGAAGAATTAGATAATGAAAATAGAAAAAAAATATATGAAAAACAACAATTCTGTTTACAAACAATGCAAAAATTTGAAAGCGTTAAAGGGTTATCAATTTATAAACAATTATTAGAATTATTAACTGATTCAATTAATATGATGATATTTAATGCCACACTAATCATTTTTAGAAATATTTCAATTCAAAATTATAGACCAGAAAATGCTAAAAAATTATCAATAGATTATATTAATGATATGATTAGAAATATTTCTGAAAGTTTTGATGTTGCAGTAAATTGTATTTATAATCCAGTTGAACCTATTTATGATCCTGATCAACAAATCACAAATATCACAAAAAAATCTCTCTTTAGTAAAGAAAAGAAAAACGAATATCCTTTTTCTTCTCAGTTTATTTCAATGGTTTTAACTGCTCATTTAGAAACTTATTTTACTATTGTTTTAGCTCAATCAGATAAAACAAAAAATTTCTTTCATTCATTATTTTATTCATTAAATCCACCTCAATTTACAACAACTTCAAATAATCCATTCACCTGTTTCCCTTTCTTTGTACCAAGAAGAAATTGGTTTGTTAAAGCCATCTTTTTAACTGAATTAGAACAACGTTCTCTTTATGACATTCCATTACCTTACTGTGTTATTAATTGTCAAACTATGCAAGTCGCAATATCAAAAAGTTCTTCAATGTATGAACATTTTTGTTATCGAGCAACAGCACAAGTATCAATTGCGGCTAAAGCACTTCAATGTCAATTTCCAATTTCTGCAATTCCTCCTGATAGAAGTTTAAGATTATTACAAAGAAGTCCAACAACTGAAAATATTTCAACAAGACTTTTATATTATTATTATTCAAATCAACTCTCTCTTAGTTATATCGAAATATGTAAATTCCTTGAATATTATCAACAAAAAGCTCGAATTGTTCTTTCAATTATCAAAACTGAAGGAATAAATATGACAGTTCTTACTGAATTAGAAGAACTATTTCAATGTAATTCAGCTGATGAAATGATGTTAATTTTAAGTTTCTTAAAAAGTGATTATCCGATTACAGCACAGTTTTATGCATTAATAGAGAAGAAAGTAAGAATTGATTATTAAATTTTATAAAATAAATTTCAATTGTATTTTGATTTTATAAAAACTTTCAATCTTTCATTTTTAATTTAAATAATTACTTTTATTAAATTCAATTATTAATAAGTTTCTTTTTTATTTTTTATATAATTGATTTATTGTTTTCTTAAATGCTTCTTTAAATTTTGGAATTATTGATTGAATATATTCTGGTGTTTGACAAATTGAAATTCTATAAAACCCTTTACATCCAAATCCACTCCCTGGAACTGTTACAATTCCATTTTCTGCAAAAGTTTTACAAAATTCCCATTCATCTAAAGAAGCTTCAACTTTTGGAAAGATAAAAAATGTACCTTCTGGTTGAATATATTGAATTCTTAAATCATCTAAACATTGACACATCAATTGTCTTGATTTATTATACAAATTTATATCAACTGTGGCATGTCCAATTAATGGAATAATTCTCATTTGAAGTCTATTTGAATGAACAAAACCAAGTATTTCATTTGTTGTTGCTAATGCATTAATAAATTGAATATGATTTGGTATATTTGGATTAACTGCAAGACATCCAATTCTTTCTCCAGGAATAGAAACATCTTTAGAAAGAGAATATGCAATAGCAGAATATTTATAATGAAATATTGAATGAATATGAATATTTGGTTCTACTACTCGACAATAAACAGCATCATTTAATACCCAAATTGGTCTGCCAATTTTTATTGAATACTCTTTAATTATGTTTAGTATACAATCAATACTTTCTTGAGTATAAGACACTCCAGTTGGATTATTAGGAGAATTAAATATTACACAACGAGTCTTATTACTTAAGCTTTGTTCTAATAATTGTTTATTAATTTGCCATTGATCCTCAAATCTCGTTTGAACTTTAATGGGAATTCCTCCATAGTTTTTAATATAAAAAATGTATTCAACAAAATATGGTGAGAAAATAATAACTTCATCCCCTGGATCTAAGATTGTTTTTAGAAATACATTACATGCACCAGCACATCCACATGTCATAATAATATCTTCTGATGTAACTTTCACTTCCTCAAATTGATCTATAATACTTGCAATAGCTTTTCTTGCTTCAAAATCTCCATTAGTAGAAGAATATCCATGGCACAATGGTTCTTCTGTTGAGGCAATAGTTTTTAGTGCGTTAATGTATACATCAGGTGGTGGAAGTTGAGGATTTCCTAATGTTAAATCAATTACTTTCTCATTTCCTTTTTTAGCTTTTAATGAATAAGCAAAATTAGACATTTTCCTAATCATTGTTCCACCTAAACACTCTTCTTCAATGTACCTAGAAAACATATATATTCTTTCATTAACATTCACTTCGTTTATATAGTTCATTTCATAATGAATTCACTTTCCAAAATACCTTTCACTTTCTTCATCTATTATTATTATTTTTGTTTTATATAACATTAAATTAATTTTTAATTTTAGAAATAATATATGCATACGTCATGATGACATGACATTTTAGAATTATTGTATTAAGAAAAAAATTATACCAAAAAAACTAATTTTAGTAGTTGATTAACTTATGTTAATTTTCATAGTGTTTGTGGTATTTACCATACCCCTTTGGTTTAGCCCTACTTCTAAGATCATTTTTGGGAGTTGCCTTTTCCTCTTTTGGTTGTTCCTTTTTTTCTTCTGCTTTGCCAGCTTCCTTCTTTTCTTCTGGTTTAGTATATTCTTTCTTTCCTCTATCTCTTCTACCTCTGTTGTTTCTGTTAGCATATCCTGGTCTTCTATTAAATCTTCTCTTTGGTCTATTCTTAAATACTTCTAATTGTTCTTCAGTAAGTGGTGCCATATAGCCTGGAACATTAATATCTTTTGGAGGTACCAATGAAAAGGTAATTTCAACACAGCTCATAAGCTTTGGGATAGAAACTTCCTTTTTATCTTGATCACAAACAAATTTATCTTGAGAGCTGAATAACTCACTCTTAACAATAACGTGACATGGTAATACTCTTTGAATTGTTTGGGTTGCTCTTAATGCAGTATTCGCTCCTCTTCCAAGTCCTCTAATAGTAACTGATGGCTTATTTTTAGTTTCAAGACTATCTCTAACAATAAATATAATTCTTGAAATAAAAGAATTAGCTCCAACATGGATCTTTTCGTCTTGTTGAGCATCTGCTTTAGGTCTTTGTTGTCGTGTAAATGTTTTAACTTCGACTTTCTTCTCTTCAGACATCTTTAATTAATATATTTAGATCTCTTATTCAGTTCTAAATGATAACAGGTTTTTATGTTTTCAATTTTTTTTAATTTGAGAGAAAAAATAAAAAAAAAATATATATAAATGTTATACATCACAAAAATTCAATCGAAATAATTAATCCATCACATATCTTTGTAAAATGGATTAGTTTCATTTCTTTGTTGTGGGCCTTTAGTTTTCTTCTTCTTATTGTATGCATTTTGAACTTTTTCTTCTTGGAAAGGGGTGACAATGTCTGCTTCTGGTTTTTCTATTACCATTGTTTTTGATTTAGTCTCATCACTTTCTTCATCATCTTGGTCATTATATAAATATCCAACATCCCAAAATTTAATGTGTCTACTATGAGAAGAAGATGCCAATATGTTTTGATCTCTTGATAAAGCTAAACGTTCTATTGGAAAATCATGTTGGCCAACACAACCAAGTAACTTGTGTGGATTTATCTGAACTACACGAATGATACCATCAGAACTACCAGTAATAATAGTATTTTTATTAACTGTAATAATACTTTCAATACTCTCTGGATGTCCTTTAAGAGAATTTTTTGGATATTCCCAATTATCCCATTCCCATACAAATAATTTTCCACTTTGACCACCACACACAAGTGTGTCATCTTTTTTTGTTATAGAAAGAGACAATAAATCTTCATTCATATTATCACTTATTCCAATAACTTTTTTTGAATTAATGTTCCATGTTGACATACACCCATCACCTCCTGCAGCAAAAATAGTGTTATCACAAATAGTTAGTTGAGAAATATAATCATGATGCTCATTAAAAACAACAACACACTTTTGTTGTCTCATATCCCATACTTTAATTCTTCCACTTTCATCACCTGTAACAAAAATATTTCCTTTTACATCTAATGAATAGATACCATGTTTATGGGCTTTATCATTCTTTGCAAGAATTTTTTGGTTATTTAAATCTGTAATAGTGATTGAGCCATCAGCAGAAGTAGAAAACAAAAGATTTCCTGTTTCATTAAAACAAACATCTCTTGTTGAGTCTTCATGGACTTTAAGATTAAATATTTCACTTGGCTCTTGAAGATTACCATAATTGTATAATCTAATAATACCATGCATATCTCCAACAGCAACAACATCATTAGCTGGACTAAACTTAATATCTAACACACGAGATGGACAAACAATGTCATCAGGAATGATAATTTCTTCCTTTAATTCGATGGTCATAAGAAATGTAATAAAAAAATCTCAAAAGAGTTTCAACCCTAAATCCAATCTTATCATTTTTTCAAAAATCAAAAAAAATCTTAAAAATAATATTTTAAGGTTTTTTGTTTTTAAAAGTATTAACTTGGATTAGGTGATCATTTCATCCCTTTACATAAAGAAAGATGGTGTTACTCTTGGTGGAATTGGTTTTTCTGATTCAGGAACAGCATCAAAAATAGTAAATTCTTGTTTTAAATCAGTTCCTACTCGCATAATACAGGCAATATTACCACATCTACCACAATAATTTGGTGCAGACCATACAGTAACCAATTTGTTATCAAAATGATATTTGTAACCTTCTTGTACTACTTGGTGAGCACGAGCAATTAAATCGATATTATTAACTTGAACAAATTCATTAACTGGTTTTGCTCCAAAAACGTATCCAGCACCTCTTGTTGATGGGGTCATTCCTTCAACACTATCATCTGGGTCTGACCACATCAAATCACAAAACGCACCTTCATGTGGAATTTCTTGATTTCTTTTGACAATAACTCTAATATGATCAATACTTCTTATTTCAGGTGAAAGACCTCCATGAACACAAAAAATTTTACCATCAATAAGAGCAGCAATATTTAAATAATCAAATACTTCCATACACCATCGATACGAATTGGCAGTTCCATATTTTTTAATACACTCTTCATAAAAACCATAAACTTGAGTTACTTGTCTACTTTCGTGGTTACCTCTCATTAAGGAGATTCTAGTTGGGTACATCACTTTATATAACATTAACAAAGTAAATACCTCAATTGAATAACTCCCTCTATCAACATAATCACCTAAAAATATATATGAATTTTCTGGTAATGAACCACCAATAGAAAATAACTTTAACAAATCATAAAATTGTCCATGAATATCACCACAAACAATGACAGGAGATTGAATTGGTTGTACGTTAGACTCCTCAATTAGAATAGATTTAACAGCACTACATAATCTTTTAAAATCATTCTCAGGAAGAATACTACCTCCTTTAACAATTTCTAAACACTTCTGGTAGTCCATCTCGTAATGATTTTTTAGTTTTTCTTTTTGGAAAGTTAAAGAAGGTTATTCTAATTAATAGGGAAGTTTCCTGATTTTTTAGTTTTCATTAAATATGAAAAAGAATAAGCAAAAAGGGTAATGAATAATAAAAACAAAATTTTCAAGAATTAGAAAAAAAATATTGTTTTTTTCAATAAATAAAAATTCTTATCAGTAAGAAAAAAAATAATAAAAAGAAATCTATTTAATAGAGTCATACAAAGAATGGATACATCAGATTGATAGAATTTGGGGATTACTTTTATGAATCCAATATTGTAATGTACTTGGGGATAAGTCACTATAAATTCCTGGATAAGTAACTTGAAGATATTTTGTTGCTTTAGATAATCCTAATATCTTAGCTTTTTCAACAGCAAGTTTCTTTTGTTCAGTTGACCAATATTTTTTGGTTTTACGTTCTTTGATAACAGTTGTAATTGGTTTTGCTGATTTTTCTTTAACAACTTCTAAAGGAGGAGGAGAACTTAAGATAACAGTTGGTTCATTAATTTTAGAATCAATTATTTTATAACTTCTAATATCACTTGGTTTAAAGACAGAGATATAATTTGCAGAATACATAAATTTAATAATTAATTTTGATTATAAAAAGTTCCTTTTTATTACCTTTTATACTCACAGGGTTACATTAACTGGAAGTAAATAGTGACCAAAAATGGTATCCAAAGAAAAAATAAGAATTCGATTTTCTTCTTTCTTTGTTTTCTTCATTTACTTTTCAAAAGAAATTCAAGTAATTTGTTCAATAGAATTTTTTAATCTAATATCAAGTTTTTCAAAGTTCCTTTAATTAATATAACTTTTCTTTTTCTCTCTCTTATTTTTTAAACTCCCTTCAAAGGTCTTTTGCTTCCTTTTTATAGAAATGTATTTGTCCATTACCTTAGAAAGTTATCCTACTGACAAGACAATTTTGGTTTAGATTAAAGTAATTACTAATAAGAAACAATTTAAATATGACTATAAATTCTCTACACTCTTTTTCTTAAAGAAAATTATGAAAATTTCAGTAAAATTCAGCAACTTTTCTTTATTTTGAAAAAAGTTCTTTCATAAAATTTCTTAAAATAATTATACTTGTTAAGATAAGAAAGATTAATATCTATTCTTTGTAAAATAATATTATCCTTAATTATTTATAATAATAAAATACTTTTTGTTTATTTAAAATGATATCTAAGTATCAATTGATACATTTAACATCTAATACTGGAATCAATTTATTCTTAAGTTATTAAAATTTTGTTTTTATTAAATATATTATAAATTTCTTATCAAAAGATACAAACAAAATTTACTAATACAAGTTAGTTGTTTCTTTTATAAAATGTTTACTTGTCTTATACTCATTTCTAATCAATTTCTAGACTTTTTAAACCCACTCAATTATTAATGAACAAAAAAAAATGTATTCCTTAACTATTTATAGTTTCTTACTTCTTTTTTAAATTAATGAAGTATTATAATATCAAAAAAAAAAAAAAAATAATTAGATAACAAATTTTATTTATAAAAATTATAAAAAATGAAAGGAAATCACTTAGGATATATCATATCTATTTAGTAGTTTCTTCTTTTTTTGCAAAAGTTGAAGCAACAATAAGTGGTAAAAGAATAGTAGCATCTCCAATAACTTTAGCTGGCTTACATTCTGGTTTAAAGAAACCTTTTGTTCTATCTGCAGCAACTTCTGAACCAGCATCTGACGCATCACATTCAATACTTGTTGATAACATAGCACAATAATCACAACCTCCTCTTCTTTTCATTGCATTTAAAATATGATGTTTAGCAATACCAGCACCAACTAAAAGACAACCAACCTTTTCAGCATTAAATGCCATTTCATCTATTTTTATGACATCTTGAACAAGGTCTAAAACAAGTCCTTCATTTTTATAACTAAAGAAGAATATCATATCACCAATACTTCCATCAGTAATTGCTGGAGAAAATACTGGAATATTATTCTTTGCAGCCCAATAATAAATTGAACTTTCATTATTAATAGATTCCCCCATTTTATGAACCAATTTTGATGGTGTCCAATGAACTCCATGTTCGTTTTGTTGCTTAAGACATTCCAAGAGTAATGGATCCATCCAATCTTCGAACTCACAATAATTAGAATTTGGTAAAATTAAATTTCCAATTCTGTTATATCCATTTGGATATAATTCTTTACCTTTAAAATAGAAGTCACCAAGGAGTGTTGGGTGCATTGTTTTAATAAAGTCTTCTTCAATTCCACCTGCAGTAACTACAATGGCATCAACAAATTTATTCTTCACTAAATAATGAATAACTTCTCTTAATCCACTTGAAACTATATTAGAAGACATTCCAAGGAATATCTTTGCATGACTCTTTCTCATTTCGTTGACTTGTTCAATGCATAGCCCAAGGTTCAAAGCTTGAAACCCAGTATATTTCATTTTTTCCATTAGTTTGTTAAAGTCAACTCCGTTGTCAAAGTCATATCCAATACATGGTTCTCCTTTGTATTCTTTTGACTCACCAAGGACTTTTGAAGTTACTTTAGCGAATTCTTCACCAGTGATGGACATATTCTTTTCAAAAAATGTTATTAAGATTTAGGGTTTAAATAGATGAGGTTGTATGAAAAGATATTTTATATAATTGAAAGGAAAGTGAGAAAAGGGTTTATTTTTACAACAAAAAACAAGAACATTCATGTTTACCTCTTTTAATGTTTTTTGGATTAAACGATAATGAATTAAAAATACTAAGAGGTATAAGTTATACTGTCTTGTTGGTCAAATCTTTTTGGTATTTTAAAAGACACACCGTGGAGGAACAAACATAAAAACACAAGAACTGAAGACAAAAATTGAAGGGATGTTAGGTTTTGAATAAAAAGAAAAGAATAACATAGTTTTACAAATTGTCGAAAAACGTGAAGTGTGTTCATCCATATTTTTCCACGAGTATGTTTCATTAATATTTGGTTAGTTATTTGAGTCATTGCTGAAGATAAACAGTTGAATATACAGAGATAATAGTGACTAATTATCAAATCGTTTTGAAGAAGTAATGAAAGGATTAAGAATATTATAACAGAAAAGACAGATGGATAAAATAATTTGGCATAATAATCATCTATTGTAAAGTGTTTTGATTGAAGAACCATTACCATTGCATCAAAAGTAATGTATAACATCAATAATATAAATGAAGTTATACTAGCATTACTCACAATCACAAATACAAAGATAGTTGATAGTGTAACTACTCCAATGATCAAATCATTTTGTTTAAGTGGAATTCTAAATATTGGACGAAGAAGAATTATTGGAATAAATTTCATAGACTGCCCAAGTGTCTGCATTGGAAAAGAGAGAATAGATTGAAATAAGTATAGTGATGTTAAACTAATAACAATACATATCCCTATTACTAGATATAATTTGATTGAAGAATAGGAAGGTATTGTACGGTTGAATGGGGAAGAAATTATTAAATGAGTTAATTTAACAAAAAATAAATGTTCAAAAATGTGTTGTGAATCAATAATACCTATAATGGTTGATATTGTAGAACTTGCCACCGCAAAAAAGATAAATAATCCTGAAATAAGTAACAATACTGATTTAGAAAATTTCTCAGTATTAAACGAATAAGACATTATTACTTTAGCTTTGTTGTAGTGTCCTCTCACTGAATAAATCATATAATCGAAATAATCTTCTTTAAATGGTTTGTTCTTCATTTGTTCTTCATCTTCAGTATCATGAAAATTCCCTTCTAAATCTCGAACAACATTCTCTTCATGTACGCTGTTAATAATAGGATCAGTGATGTCTTGTAAATCAATCTTTTGAGTCATAATATTGAGGGGAAAAATCAACTATTTTTTGAAGTTCTCAAATGTCAAGTTTATCAAAAAAAAATACAAAAACATCTCATAAAATAGTCAATCAAAAATATTATCTTTTCTTGTAAAGACAAGGTGAAAGATGTACTTTCTTCTTTAACTTTTCCATCTGATTTTGGTTTAACACATAATTTTTTGCATTTTTACGGAAAACTAGCATTACAAAAACATTGTTTTCATCTTCTTTAATTGTTACAAATCCAAGTTGTTCAATCCCATTAATAAACCCTTTAATAGATTTTAATCGACTAATTGGTTCTGCAATAATCATTAATCCATTAGGTTTTAATATACGAAACCCTTCTTTTAAGAATAAATGGAAATCTGTTCCCATTAGTGATAAACAAAACACAACTGCATCACTCCATCCTTTTTGAATTGGTACTTTTGTGATATTTGCTACTTTAACTCGTTCATTTGCTTTGTACAAATCAAATGATTCTACTATTCTGTCTTTACACTCAAGTGATAATCGTGCTTCTCCACATCCCATATCAACAATGTGTTGAATTTGATTATTCTTTTTAATATATTCAATAATTCCATCTAATGGATTGATAGGCCAATGTTCAACTTGTTTGGCATATCCTTGATGATACTCTTCAAATAATTCCGGTTTTTCTTCAAATAAATGTTTTGCTTGATCACCACGTGATGTATAGAGTATTTCATTGATATATCTGAATTTTGATCCTTCAAGATCATTTGCAAATGATTCTATCAATGTCCCTTGTTTCTTCCCTCCATTTTTCTTTGGTTTTCTTTCTTCTTTTGTTTTTAGTATTCTACTTTGATTTCCTTCTGTTAATGTCTTCTTCTTTCTCTTCCCTTCCATTTGTTTTTTCTGTTTCTTTTTTATTTTTCTTTTTCTTCTTAAATCAAAAATGTTTATCATTTATCTAATTTCTCTTTCCTTTCCAACCATAACATATTTACTTCATTCTTTCTCACTATATCTTGATACACTCACTTGTCTTTTTAATTGTCTATTAACAATAAACAACATAAAATATTTATTAATTACCATTCTCACCAAACAACCAATGTTCATAACAAAATAAAACTTTTATTATATTGAACAGAACATAACACAAATAAACCATCTGATAACTATGATTATTAAGAACTAAAGTATCGTAAATAAGATGTATAGGTATTAGTCTGATGGGGAATAAACAATAAACAAGAAATAACGATATCAAAGAATCACAACACAAGAAATTATAACTAAGTGAGAAGAAAATAAAGAAGAAGGTGGTTTATGAAAAACAAATACAAAGAGAAAATATAAATAAAAGAAGATATATCAAGTAAAAAAGGGGTTAAAAAATAATCACCGGAAAAACAAAATAGAAGAAGAATCAAAGAAAGTAATCAAAAATGTAATAAAAGAAGAAAGAAAAGAAGAAGGAGTATAAAATAAAATAACAAAAACGAAAAGATAAAGAGGAGAAGAAACAAAAATAAAAAGAATAAAAGAAATGAATTCAGGAGATTAAGAATACTTAACAAGATTACAAAATTGAAAAAGAACAAATAATGTTTAATCCATTTAAGTTTGAAATCGAAGAAATAAAAGAACAAGGGATTAGAGGTTGTACTCTTCCACCTGAAATTAAAATTAATAGTAATGAAAACAGAGTATGTAAAACACCTATTGAAAAAAGAATTCCTGTATTAAGAGCATCAAGAGAAGCTAGAAACAATTTCACTCTTCAACAAACACTTTGTATTTGTCTTTTAAGTAAATGGTGTCGTATAACCATTAAAAAACCAACTAGAAGAAGTTGTGTAACTGAACAATTCTTCAGAATTAATTCAATTGAACATGATGAAGATAAATTAGATGTTTATTCATTCCTTAAAAAACGATGTAATGAGATGTACTTGTTTGACATTCAACGAGGAGTGACTGAGAAAACAGCAATAAGGAGATATCAAAACAATAAAAAAATCGAAGTAATTCATTTAATGGAAGACATTCTTCGTGAATATGGAGTTGAATTAGAAACTAAAATAACAGATGGAAAATCTGGAATTAACAGACTTGAAAATATCACTGGAATCTATATTTCAAATAAAATCATTCCATTTGATAACTTAATCATGGATTTAATTGAAGTTAATCACAATTTACTCAGTAGTGTTCTTCAAAGCAATGGAGAACTTATTATTGATCAAAATCAATTCTCTTTCAACTTCTAATTTATTGTTTTTATCATCATTTCCTTTTTTTTTAAAAAGTAATGAAAAGATAATACAAAAATGATAAGAATTGTTAAAAAAAGGTATTAAAAGGAATTAAAAAAATACGGTAAACAAGAGGTCACTTATTCAGAGGCTTTAAGAATATCAGAATCTCCACCATCAATAATTGAAAGGACAGAGACAGTAAAATATCTACCACAAGCAGTTCCAAGATCAACATTGGAACCAGCATAGTGAACAACTTGAACTTTAGCAAGAACAGCATAGTACTCAATTTTAGCTCTTTCTAATGGTGGGCAGTTAGAAGAAATAATAACGAGTTTACTCTTTCCATCACGGATGGTCTTAAGAGTAGCTTTGGTTCCAAGGACATATTTACCACTCTTAGTGACAAGGGCAAGTTTTGAGTTAACTCCTTCTTGGGTTTTCTTGGCTTGTTTAGTGCTTGACATCCTTTGGCACTATATTAGTTAAAAGGGTTCTTTTTACCATTTCTAAGGGTTTTAAAATAATTTTATAAAATAGTTTTAAATATTATATGTTATAGTTTGTTTTTGATTATTTTTCCAATGACTCTTTTGATTTTTCTCATTTTAAAAATAAATTAGTATTAATTATTTCCATTAATCTTATTCATTCATTTCTTTTTATTATCCCCCATCTTTTTCAATATTACACTTCATAGGTAATCAGCAGACTTTCAAACAACGCTTTTATTTCAAGATATGGTTTATAACTTTAATACAGAAATAAATGTTAAAAATACTATTAATTGAAATAGATAAGAACAGGTGCTAAAAACAGAATAATATCAAAAAAAGGATGGATAAAAAAGTAAAACTTGAAAACAAATCTTTACAACAATAGAAGATGTTCGCAAAAAAGGGTCAGACAATGCGACCAAAGAAAAAGTCAGAAAAAGGGACTTTGAGATATAACATTCAACAACTTGTAGAAGCAGGGATTAAATCTGGAGATTTGATTAATGCAGTTAAAGTCCCTGAAGGACAAAATGAATATGAGTGGATGTCAGTTAATTGTTTTGATTTCTTTGAAACAGTTCAATTAATTTATTCTTCTGTTAGTGACTTTTGTAATGAAACAACTTGTCCAATTATGAATGCAGGTCCTTCAATTGAATATTTATGGATTGTTGATAAAAAGGCTACTAGCTTGCCAGCTCAAAAATACTGTGATGAATTATTTTCATGGATTGCTAATACGTTTGATAATGAGAAAGTGTTTCCAAGAGAATTTGGAGAAAAACCACCAAAGAAATTTATTGATATAATAACCAAAATATATAAAAGAATGTTTCGTGTATATGCACATATGTTCTATAGTCATATGGAACATTTAAAGGAAGTAAAAATGGATGATATTGCTTTACAAAGTTTTAAACACTTTTTCTTTTTCTGTAGGGAATTTAACTTCTTATCTAAAGATGACATCGCTCCATTAGAATCAATGGTTCAAGACTTATGCAGCCAAGCAGGTGTTTCTGTTTTTTCTTAACAATTTTTATTTTTCTCCTCATAATTTTGTTATTTTTTTTGTTATTTACAATTTTTCTTTCAAAAAGGTTTTTTAATTTTTTTTAGTCAAAATTAATAAGTTGTAGATACCGATAAGTTATATTTCTTGATTTATGTTTTATAACAAAAAAAAATTATTATTATATTTCTGAGACACTACACAAGAATTTTGAAATTAAAATAAATAACATACTCTTCAGAAAAGGTATTGGTTATGGACTGCTATTCAAAAAGATAAATCACCACTTAGAATATAAGTCTGATAGAATTAAAGAAAATAATTAAAGAAGTTGATTGGTGTTAAAGAACTTCTTTGTTTATTAAAGAAGATTGGTAGTAATTAATACGAACTATCATTACTGAGACAAATGAATAGAACAAGAGATTAGGAAATATGTTAAAGAATAAAAGTAAAACAACACTTTATATAGAATTTCAAATAAAGAAAGTTATTAGTAGTAATTTAATGATATTATTTCTGAATTTAATTCAAAATCTTTTTTTTAATAAAATTTAGTCATAGAAAAAACAAATAATTGTCCTTTTTCAACACAATAAAAAATAAATTGTATAACTAAATCTAATGGACTAAATGATTATAATCAAAAAGTTACTTTTCTATTTATTAGTTATTTTTGTTCAAATACAATTTATTAATTGATTCATCAGAAAATAATCAATGTAAGAAAAGGTTAAATAAACAAATTACTTAGTGATATTCTGATTGAATCTTAAACTTTATTTAGAAGTTTTTTAAACAAAGAAGGTAATTATTTAAAGGATATAAAAACAATATTATAAAGAAATTGTTAGTAGAAGAATATTACCCGTTAAATAACAATAATGTGTTAGTACCTCTAATTGTTGAAAGTCTAAGATGAAGACCTAAAGAAATAACTTATTTAAATAAAATGTGGATTATAGTAAAATAATTACAGCTTCAAAGGAAACTAACGCCACTCTTTCTTTTTTTTAAAGAACTTTTTGACATCCTTAGATATTTCTCCTTTGTTTTTGTTGATAACCAATTGCACTTGTTTAAGTTATCAATTTCAAATAAACCATCACAGTTTTGAAGATCAAGCTTTGTTAGTGTTGTTGGAATAATTAATGTTTTGGGAATATTTGAAGTATTAATCTTTAGTTCTTTTAATGAACAATGAAGTAAGTCAGTTAGATTTGAAATTGAACAACCACAAAGAACCAATTTAGTTAGTTGTGCTGGTTTAATCTGTTTTAATAAATAACAGTTATGAATCTCAAGTGACTCAACGTTTTTATTATAATCTAAATCACTTAACGAAGTGCAATATTTAATTTCTATTTGATTAACAGAGTTAGGACAATGAATAAATTTAATAGAATTACAATGATCAATTTGAAGAATTTTAAGTTTAGGACCAGTACTAGTTTGTAACGAAGAAAGTGAAGTACAACTAGAACAATTTAGTTGTACTAATGATGATGGAATAATAATTGATTTAACGTCTTCACATTGACACAATGAAAGGTATGTCAGAGATGTTGGTAAAAGAAAGTGTTTTTGATTTACTATTTTAATTCCTTCAAGTGTGACTTGCTCAAGACAAGAAAAAGGAGATAAGTCTAAGGACTGTATGATTGATGATGTAGAAGAATTGTCTAGTGTTCTTTTAGAAAAGCTTTTATTACTGTTATTTGGGACAGAAGTATGACCTCTAATAAATATTGATGTTGGATAATAAACAGCAATTACCTTTTGTAAAGAACTTTCACAACTTGCCAATGAAACATTTAGTTCTAACCCTTTATCGTCTGGTAGTAGAATTGTAGACCCATCAATAATACTTTTATGTAATTCATTTGAATAAGCACACAAATGAAGATTAGGGTTATTTTTAATTTCAAATAATACTTGTTTTGCATTATGTATTTTTAATATTACAATAACTCCTTTATTAACCAATTGATTAATTCCATACTTCATTACGTTCAATAAATGTTCGTCAACTTCAATAATACATTCCTTTAAATTCTCACAATAAATAATACTTTCTATAAATTTCTCACAATATTTTTCATTAAGATCATCCCAAAATATGAATTTAACTTTTTGAAGTTCTTTGTAGTATTTAAAGTCAATTTCTATTTCTTTGAAAAGTTGAAGTTCTAAACTAACTATTCCATTTGTTATTTTTTTCCAATCTATCTCTCCTTCTATTTCGTGGTAACTTATTTTAATTTCTAACAACTTGCCTTGAGGAAGTGATAAATTAAGAGCATTTGATATATCTGTTCTTATGACCTTAATGCCACTAAATAATTTTAATTCAGAAATTAATGTTTCTGAACTGAAGAATGGATTAATTGTTGCAAAAATAATTGCTGTTGCACATTTCTTTGAAACTGCTCCAAAGTGTAATACGTTTGAAATATTTTCCAAATAGGGGATAATTTTTATGAGAACAAACCTTGGTAATTGACCTGGTTTTAATATCAGTGATGATCTACCTCTTGTTAATCGTGATTGCCATTGAAATGAGAGTGATTCGCTTGGTTGATTTCCCATCAAGTTAAATTTTTAAGATTTCGTTTTGTCTTTTCTTGGTTTTTTATCAGTGTTTAATCAGAAAAGAAAGATTAAAATTTTTTTATTTTATAAAACTATTTTAGTGAATTTCATCAATTTCTATTATTTTTTGTTAATGAAAATCTTTGTCTAAGACGTAGGATTTATCACTTTGTTTAAAATTAATTAATCACTTTAAATAATTTGTTGTTCCAAGTGTTAACTGAAAATATTAAATTAAAATTATAATTTTTATTCAATAAATTTAACAATAAAAAAATTTTTTTGGTTTTAATTTTTTATAGTTGTTTTAATTTATTTTTTTAAATAACTATCTTTTTTAATCATAACTGTTAAACACAAACAGTTATCTTTTTTTTTAGAGGTGTTACTTTGTTGTTTAAACAAGTGTTTCATAGTTAATAACTTTTTTATTTGGTTGATAAAATTAAGAAAGATTTAAAATATAGAATAACATAAATGAGTATAACAAAATACAGTTGACTTTATTATTTATTAATAAAACTAATACTTATTAATTTTTTAATAATTTATTTAAAAAAAGTAAATAAATAAAATATTATATTCGTATTATTTACATAATTCAAATGAACATTTAATAATTTTTTTAACTAGTAAAAATAAATTCTTTTTTGTTAAATAAGTTAAATTAAAAATTTTTTTATTTTCATAAAAACTAAAATAATTTTTGTTCTTGTTTTTATCAAAAAGAATAAACATCATTTTAACTCAATGAAAAGAACTTAGAACATTCAGTCAAATGAGCATAGAAAAAGATGTGGTTTATGTTGGTATCGATTTGGGTACCACATTTACTTCAGTTTGTGAAATAAGAAATAACAATCCTTTCTTTTATACATCTGAACTTGGCTATGACTCAATCCGGTCATGTGTTGCATTCACAGGTACAAAATGTATCGTTGGTCAAAATGAAAATTCAGTAAAGAACAGTATTTTTGAAGTCAAAAGACTTATGGGTAAACGTGTGGATAGTGAAGGTCTTGATTTAAAAAACCTTAAGGGACGTTTACTAAACACCCCTGTTGAACTAAGTGAAGGCAGACTTGCAATTGAAGTTGAAAGACCTGCAAAGAAAGGGATAAAAAATCAAGTAATCCGTCTTCTTCCTGAACAAGTCTCAGCTTTAATTCTATTAAAAGTAAAAGAACTTATATTAAAAATACACAAGAATGTTACAATCAAAGCAGTTATAGGAGTTCCAGCAGCATTTGGTGATGAAGAAAGAAGAGCAACCGAACGAGCAGTAAAAATGGCAGGGATTGAACTTATAAGAATGGTAAATGAACCTACAGCTGCTGCAATGGCTTATGAAATAAAAGATGGGTCAGTGTTTGTCTTTGATTTTGGAGGAGGGACATTAGATATTTCTGTCATAAATTATGTAAATGGACGACCTCAAGTAAAAGTAACAATGGGAGATCCTTTTCTAGGAGGAAATGATATTGACTATAATATTCAAAAATATTTAATTGAAGAAATCAAAGAACGTGCAAAAGGTTCTTGTTCTGAAGAAGAAATAAACAATATAATTGAAAAGAAAAAAGGTGTATTAAAGAATTGTGCAGAAGATTTAAAAAAAGGATTGTCAGAGAAGTACAATAAAAGTAGAGAAGCAACTAAAGTTGAATGTACGATAGATATAGGTATTAAAGATTTAGAAGATCAGTCATTTGAATTAACGTATACTAAATTCTTAGAATTAAATCAAGAAATCTTTAAGAGGTGTCAAGAGTTAATGAAAAGGGCTCTTAGAAAAAGTGGATATACTCAAAAGACAATTGACCATGTATTAATGGTAGGAGGTTCATGTAAATGTCCAAGAATTAAAGGAATGTTAATTGATTTCTTTGGGAGTGAAAAAGTAGATCAAATAAATACTGATTTTGATTTATTGGTATGTAAGGGATGTGCGTTTTTAGCACAATCAATTGCCACTGAAGATATTTCAAATATATTAGAAGGAGAAATTGCATCTAAAACTATTGGAATTGAACTAATGGATGTTAGTACTAATAAAAAAAGTATTGAACCAATTATTAAAAGTGGAACTCCAATTCCATATGAAACAAAAAGAGTGTTTGTTACAACAGTTGATTATCAAAAAGAGTTATTATTAAAAATTTATGAAGACCAAAATCTCTTAACAGACCTTTTAATATCCCCATTACCAACAATGGTTGCGGGTTTTGTTGAAATTGAAGTTACATTTTCTATTGCAGATGATGGTAAATTATTGACTAAAGCCAAAGTAACAAAGCCCTTAAATATTTCTTTAGAAAAACAATGTTTAGCAATGCCACAACACCAAAATTATAGTGAATTAGAAATAATAGAAAATTCAAAAGAAATAGAGGCTCTCTATTATTCAAAATAAAACGGTAATAAGCAAAATTCTTTTTTCTTTTTAATGTTTTATTAATTAAAATAAAGACCTTTATTCATTTTGACTGTCAAAACAAAAAATAACCAAAATGAAAAAATGAAACAGTCACAATTCAGTTTTAAAATTACCATCCTGCAAAACTACGAGCAAGTTGTGAATATTGAGGTGGTGACAAATCAGTTAATCCACAACCAGTAAATTCTTGAATAGGACTATTTATTGCTATTGAAGCGGACTGATCAAATACTGATTCAGAAATATCAGGATTTTCACAACGATTTGGTGGAGTATATAATTCTCTTCCATCAGATGGAGTAGAGCCGTTTGAATTTTCTTTAAATAATAACAAATTTTTTATTTCTTCATCTGTGAAACTTGACATTGAATTTGACTCGCTTGACTGTTCTACAGATTGTGTTATTGGTACATCTATTTTCCTATAAATGTAAATTCTTGCTCTTATATTTTAATATTAAAATTAAACAAACACTGGTTTGGGTTGAACTGGAACTGCTCTGAATGGTTTTGGTTGGGCAACTACATCATTAGTGTTCATAATTGTAATGCTTTATTCAGATGAAGTTCAAAGTTTTCTTTTTTTTTTATTATTTCTATTTTTAAATTTTTTTTAAAGATTTTTTTTTTTTGAAATAAAAAAATAACTTAATTTTAAGTTCTATTCTTAAAGAAATGACACAATATGTTAGAACTACTACCCGTTTAACTCCTTTAAAATTAATTGTCGTTGGAGACTCTTCAGTTGGAAAAACTTCACTTATTCAAATGTTTGCAAACAATCAATTTTCAAATTCAGTAGTTTCAACTGTTGGAATTGATTTTTTAACAAAGAGATATGAAGTAGATGGGACTACATATAAAGTTCAAATATGGGATACCGGTTTGTTTATAGTATTTTAGAAGATAAAAAAAAACAAAAATGATTTTCAAGATAATTATTTGTTTTTATAAGTAGAAAAAGAAAAGAAGATGAGATAAGATTTTATTTTTTAAAATATAAATAAAAACTAACTTTTATTTAGCTGGACAAGAAAAGTTTAGAACTATTATTAATAGTTATTATCGTGGTGTTCAAGGTGCTGTTTTAATTTATGACGTAACAAATAAATCTACTTTTGATGCTATTAATTATTGGGTTAAAAATGTACAAGAATTTGGGGAACAGGTAGTAGGTAGAATTCTTGTTGGTAATAAAACTGATTTAGAACAACATAGAACTGTTTCAACTGAAATGGGTCAAAGTCTTGCTGATAAAATTGGAATTCCTTTTATTGAAACATCTGCTGCTAAAGGTGAAAATATTCAAGAGACATTTACTTGTTTAATTAAAGAAGTTATTGAAAATCAAAAACAACAAACTTCTACTAAATCTGCTGAACGTGTTAATGTTACTAAACCAACAACTCCTAATACACAAGAACAAGCTGGTTGTTGTTAATATCCAATTTTTTTTTAATTTTTTTTAATTTAAATTAAAAAAGAATTATTAAAATGTTATATTTAAAATTAATTAATGTTTTTCATTTCTTAATATCCAAACATTTTCTTCATTCTTTCAAAGTATATCATTTTCCATCCATTTTCAGTTCTCATAATATCTTTTTGTTCAATATCACTTTGAATTAATGTTAAATCTGTTTCATCATCTCCATCTTCACCTTCTGTAAGTGTAATTTCGACATGTGAATATTTTCCTTCTGGCCATGAATTAAATCTCCATTTATATACAATCTTTTCATTTACCTTTAAGTCTATAATTTCACCAGAAACTGCTCCTCCAAATAAAACAAATTTTGCACCAATTTCTGCTTTGTATTGAACTGGTGATTGCATTAATGCAGTTAATCGTTCTGGATCATTTAAACATTGGTAAATAATTCTTGGAGGAACCATAAAATGAGAAGTAATTTCAATTTGTGCCATTATAAAATATTATTTAATTATTCTTTTTAAGTTACAGTCATTTTAATTGATTGTTTCTTACGTGTCATCTATTAGTGATGTGTTGTCTTTTTTTTTCATTTTCATTTTTGTTTTTATGTTTTAATAAAAATAATAATTTTGTTATTTCTTAATATATTTCTAATATTAGTAATGAATAATGGTATTAATAACGAAAATAAATATGTACACCTTTACTTTTAAGAATATTATTATTAAAATAATTTAAGATTTGAAAATAATTTTTCTTCTTAAGAATAGAGTAATTAAACAAAATGAAAATTGAAAAATGAATTAAATCTTAAATTTAATCAATCACAAATCTTTTTTTTTTAACTATTGTTTTTATTCTTGGTAGTATGTATTACTTTCTGTTGTTAAATTAAATACACTAAAAACATTTATTTAAAAGTTGTAACCTTTCATATCTTTCATTCATCATTCACCATTTAATAAGAAAGTCATAACGATCTCATAGTATCTGAAAAATCATAAAAAATGGCTGTTGATCAACAACACCAAATGCTTTTTAGAAAACTTCAGGATGGAAATATTCAATGCGTTGCATGTAATAGGTATTGTGTGATTAAAGAAGGAGAGACAGGTGCGTGTGGAGTGAGAAAGAATACTAATGGAAATTTAGAGTTAATTGTTTATGGTAAAGTAATTGGACCAGGTCCATCCCCAATAGAAAAGAAACCAATGTTCCATTTTCTTCCACAGACTATGACATATTCAATTGCCACTGTTGGATGTAATTTTACTTGTCAATTTTGTCAAAATTGGGATATTAGCCAATGTACTCTTCAAATAAAAGAAGCAGGTGGTGATTATATTGGCAAGATTGAACGATTAGGATATCCTATGAGTGCCCAAAAAGTTATTTCAGAAGCAAAGAGGAGAAATTGTCCTGTAATAGCTTACACATACAATGAACCAACAGTATTCACTGAATTTGCATTAGAATGTGGTAAACTAGCTCATCAAGAAGGAATGAAAAATGTTTTTGTTACTAATGGGTATGAAAGTAAGGAATGTATTGAGGCTATGAAAGGAATTATTGATGGAATGAACATTGATTTGAAAGGATTTACTGATGAGTTTTATCATAGTATTACTGGTGGTCATCTTCAGCCAGTATTAGAAACGATTAAACGTTGTCATCAACTTGGAATATGGATTGAAATCACCACACTTATTATTCCTGGACAAAACGATAGTGATGAAGAATTAAAAAATATTGCACAATTCATTTATAATGTTGACCCATGTATTCCATGGCACATTTCTGCATTCCATCCTGATTATTTAATGGACACAACACCACAAACGCCTATCAGTACACTAAGAAGAGCATATACTATTGGACAAAGTGTTGGGTTAAAATATATTTATTGTGGTAATGTTATTGACCCAGAAAGAGAAGCAACATATTGTAAGAAATGTGGAACCAAATTAATGCAGAGAAAAATATTTAAAACAACATTTACACAAAATTTCAAAAATGGTATGTGTTTGAAATGCCAAACAATGTGTGATGGTGTTTGGAAATAAATGATTTAATTTTGTATCTCTTTTGATTTAAAGAAAATAAATTAAAATAATAAAAAATACTACTATAGAAAAATGAATTACAATATCATTAAAATGAAAATCCAGGATTTGTATCTTTCCATGTCCCTAAATCAACTCGATGTCTTAAATTAAGATTTCTCGAAACAATATATCCTTGAGTTGCCATACCAGCAATTTGTAGATATTCTTCTGCAGTATACTTTTTTCTAAAAAGTTCTATTTTTCTATAAACAGTCATTACAGGAAGTGGAAAATTAAATAACGAAACAATTGGAGCTATAATTGGGGTCTTAACAGGAATACCATAAGGTCCATAAAAACAAATGTCAAGTGCTAATGTGAATATTCGTTGTGTTTCTTCAATCGCTTTTAAAATTGCTTCTTTTGGAAGAACAGAACCTTCTGATCCAACTCTTGCCATTGGTTGTTCCATTCCAAAATTTGCCATTCCTCCTTTTTTTCCCATTAACCCACCAACACCACCTAATGATGATGGATTAAATATTTTAACTCCAATCAAACCTAATCCTTTCTTAATGATTGGATTATTTAGTGGAAAGGAAAAAGATTGAATAATTATCATCATGAAAATTAAAGAAGTAAAACATCTTTTCATTTGCTCTTCGAATATTATGATTTTTAAGTTTAATTATTTTCTTATAAGAAATTAAGTTTTATAAATTATTTTTTGTTATTCTTAAAATAAGAACTTTAATACTTTTTATTAATAAGTAATAGAATAATAATTCTTAATTTTATTAATTTTTATTAATAAATCTTTAAACAAAAGTATTTTTATCTTTCTCTTTCTTAAAGTAATTATATTAATAAATCAAGTTAGGGGAATACCTTCACTTGGAAAGAAGATAGGGTCAAAGACATTAATTTTTTTTGTTTTAATCATTTACCTTCTTATTTACTAAGTTCTAGAAAGAATTGTTGTGATCTGGCTAAAGTATTTTATTTAAGAAACAACTTATTTGGTATGTTACAAGCCAACCGATTTACATTTTGGTGAACCAAGAATTAAAGGAGATGATTGTTAGTGGTATTCTACTTTAACAAAATAATATAAGATATAAACAAAACATGAAAATAGAGGTGATTCGTGTTATAAAAAACAAAGTTATTAATTTCTTTAATTTTCTATACCTATGAAGAGTAAAATGGTTGTTGAGTTTAAAAGATTATCAAACGTTAATTTTATTTTTTTGTTCCTTATTTTATTTTTCATTGAATAAGTAAATGTATAAAACTATCTTCGTTCTATTAAAACTTGAAATTGGTAATATTCAATAAAAAACAATCACTTTACTTTTTTTGTTTAATTTTAAGGATATTAAGCCTCGTACTCTTTAACAAAATTATACAACAAATATCTCTTTTAAAGAAAATGATGAAGTGTTTTCTGTTTTTGAAATAACACAATGAATTACACTTTTATAAGGACTATAAAAGAGAAGAAAATAGAAAGCACTAAAGCAGGTTGTTAACGAATGAGATAACCATTGTTAATGTGATAAGTTTAATATAATAATTTCAGTCATTTGTTTTAACAAGGTCAATAAAAAGAATATGTAAATAGTAAAAATATAGTAAAAAATAGTAAAACCCTATAGGAAAAAAAAATGAACTTGTAAAGTAATTTATATAAAAAGAATGTCAGAGGAAAAAAAGTATTATACAAAAGTTGAGATTGAATTATGTCAATTCTGTCACTTACCAAAAGACTTATGTCCTTATGGCCCAAATGCTGCTTAATGTGCTAAAGCTCAAAACACAGAAATAAAAACTGAAGGACAAT